CTCTAACCACCTGAGCTACGAGGCCCCGCCGGACAACGCGAGTTTTATCACAACTTGGGTCATGTTACCCGCCCAACCTACTGCATTTTGCCTTTCGCTGATTGGCTGCAGGCACACGCGTTATCAGGGCTGATTCTCAGGGCTGTGAAACCATTGCTGCTACTGACCAATGAACTACTTGGGCGCTCCTCCCACCGTAGAGACCGTCCTACGAATCCTATCCCCCGGACATTCGATTTGGGGAATTCCTGATTGTCGATATGGGCATTACCTTTACATGGTCTGTGACTGCTAAGTCTTCAGACTTGATGGTTGGCTAGTATTTCGCAGCTAGCCCTCACCGAGGTAGTGGAGTCGCGATCAGTCTGACAGATCGATCGTCACAAGCGCGGCATTCACCGCCAGCCCCACGCAGTGAGCGCAGCACCAGTGACTTGCGCGCAAATTAGTTTGTAGTGGGGTAGACTTGCGTAGCATCTGTCGCACTCTCAACTACCTGGCTCTGATTGTCGAACGGTCTCAAAACGACCGCCCCTCTAGGCGCGCCACATACGGCCTGGATCCCACTACATGTACCGGCCTTTCTGCAGGATCGACTCGAATTGCACATCAGTAGGGATGCCATAAATACTACTTTAAGACGCTTCTCGTCCTCATAGCGCCCTCCACACAATAGAAACCCTTCACGAGTTGGGCGCAAAGTGGTCAAACACCCCGTACAATCTGGATCCCAACCGATGATTTACCGCGGAACGAAAAGTGAAGGAGTGGTCACATAATTTGCCCCACGCCGTATCCGAAAAAAACGCCGTGCAACTGAAGGGGGATACGGTAAATAGTCTGTGTTCTGTTGTTCTCTATTAGTAATTAAGCCAATAACGAGTCTTTCACCTCTTAAATGATTCGTTGGTAAAGGCAGGGCAAAAGCCCCCCCCCCCCAGTATCTACAGCGTGCAAATAATGCCTACTTTACTTGTTTCAGTAGGTCGTGTTTTATTCATTACTCCTCAAAACATGCAGTTTGCTTTCGGACAAACCTGCCATGACCCTAGCTCAGAGAGTTAAGAAGCGGTCGTATACATTCGCTTGACTGTCCCAAACAGGTGCCTGTGGCTAGTCGCTAATAGTTGGGGACCTTCAGCCTACCGTTGAGATATTTCAGAAAGCGTCGTATGGATTGGGTCGATCATCATAGATCCACTCCTTAAGTAATATCACCTTCTACCTGTGTTACTTGGTCAAGCGATAATCCTTTCAATACGACCTCCGTCTGGCATCTTCCTTTAAATTAAGACGATATTTGACTCTGTAATGTCAATCAGTTAATCCGCAAATATTGTCACTATTGGGGCGTTATACGAGGTATCATCTTATAGCAAAGGATTTGAAGTTTTAGACACTACCCTGAGTTAAGTAGAAGTGAGTTCGTAGCAGTGGTCTCCCAGTTTTACTTCTACCAGTAACTCTTGGTAGGTGTGCTAATTCATGAAATGCTAGCCGAAAATCCGGAATGTGTTTTAGACCCGAAAAGACTACTTAAATAGGGTCGTAACATTTATTAGCATACAGCATAATCCCAAGATAGTGCATCTACTTCGGAATTTCGGCTTTTGAACGAACTTCTTTCCAGACGCAAACAAAAACTGCACTCTGTAAAAAATGGTTACTTAATTAATACGAATTTTTCTCCTTGATTTTCGATGTCCATAGAAAACACGCATAAAATATTCATTCTCTTACTCATTTGGCAGAAAATTACGTCTTCTTCAAATTTTATGCTTAAAGGAAGGTTGTGGCTCGGTTTTAGAAAAATTTTCTAATTCCTGATTGAGTCTGAACCCGACCTGCCGTAACGCTTGCATTCAGGGTTTCCAAGCTACAAACTGCATATTTTCCGTATGCGGAAAATCATACATTTCTACACGCCATTAAGAGGAGACGATATGGGGTTCATAAAATTTAGCAGTAAATTCGAGCTATATTGTAAATTTTACAAGTAACGTTAGTAAAAGCAGAGACGTGACGTTTTGTGAACGGGCACTTTGTGGCCTTAAAAAATCGGATTATTAGGAACCTTTTTAAAACCGAATTATAACCTTCATCCAAGTATACAATTTAAAGAAAATGTAATTTCTAGAAAATGAGTAAACGAATGCATGTTTTTATGCCTGCTCTCTACGAAGTATATTTGAATTTATAAGGACATCTAAAATCAATGAGAAGAATTCATACTAAATAAGTAGTCGCTTTCCACAGAGTGCAGTTTTTGTGAGCAGCCAGAAAGAAGTTTATTCAAAAGCCGGCATTCTGAGGTAACTGAATTATTGCGGGATTATGTTGCACGGTGATTAATATGACAACACTACTTAAGTAGTTTTTTCGAGTCGAAACGCATTTCTGAATTTCGGTAGCGCATATACTGTAAGTCTTCGGCTGGACCTGAAACCATAGTGAACTAGACGGCTTCACTATCAGCTTCAGTAGCGTGTTAGGTTGAATGCTAAGATCGATTATCTGGATTAGTTCACGACTCTGGCTTTCCTACAGCCCTCACCTACCCCCCCCCCCTCCCTGCCTCTCGCCCCAGGTAGTGTAAAGCATCTCACGGACGTGACTACTGGCCCGACACCGACGATTGGACACCTATTAATTTGCTCTTCGCTGATTGGTCACATCGTTATCACACGCAGTGCCGATGTCCTCCCCCTCGTCCCATCAGTTACTCCCCCTTCACCTGTGATTTGGGTACCTAGGCGCAGACGTCCATTGTGCGCAACAAACCCACGTCTGCCTGACTTCCTCCCCCCTCCTCCAACTCCCAGTTAATTTAAGACAAAGAGTATCTTCACAAGGGGAAACTGGCATTGTTTCCTTTGCTCTCCGGACAGCAAGTATCCAATCACTTGCGTGCTTGGTTCTATACACGAGGAGAGGGGGAAGAAGAATAAGGGGAAGGGGAGGTAAAGGATCCAAGAACTGCTGACAAGCAGCTGGCATGTTACTTCTTCTTTTTCGGCGAAGACTTACCCTTACTCTTTTCCTTTCCCTTACCCTTGCTCTTCCCCGATTTGCTCTTCGGCGACTTGGAGCTTTTACTGGCGTCGCCTTCGGCTTGCGCGGCAAGCATGGCCGCGATAGCTTCCGCAGTAAAGTCCTCATTGAGGAGCTCAGGAACCGGATCAAAGGTCCTCTTGGACTCCAAAGCCTGACTGTGGAGAGCCCTGGCGTGATTGCGTTCATGATTCAAGAAGATGGGAAAAGCAACAAGGGGATCCGGGTAGGCGGTGAACTCTAGGTTGCACCAGCCGCAAACTAAGGGGTTGTTTGACGTGTGAGCCACCAGAATGTGGGCCTGGAGTTGGATTTCATTGGGCAGGACTTCCCAACAAGTGACACACACCTGACTGGCGTCAGTTGCATCCATCATCAGTTCCCGACTGGTCCACAAAGCAGCCAGGTGTGCTATAGGCTCCTCGTGGCGCCGTTTCACATGTTTATTGAAGCAGTCTTCCGATCGAATGCCTTTGGAGCATATTGAGCATATCCGGAGTTCTTCCTTCACAACGATGTCGGTGGCATGACGACAAATGATGTGTGCGTGGTATTCCACGTTACTGTGGAACACTTGACCACAGATGACGCAAGCAAAGGGTTCTCTGAGATGGAAATCTGTCAGGAGCTTCTGTCGAAGAAGCAGGGTGTAGGCTGGAACGTGCACTTTGGTACAGTGGTTGTGCAAATCAAGCAAACCGGGCGCCACCTCGGCGTACTCAAATTCACACATTCGCAACTCTGTGGCCTTTTTGACGTCCTTGGCGTATTGTTGTAGGGCAGCCTCATCGGCATTTGCCGGTGGAGGTGGGACAGGGGGTGGAGGGGGTGGAAGGGGTTCTGTAAACGTAAAGGAACACATACCACAGACGCCCGGCTGCCTCTGAGGCCGATGGTAGGCCAACAGGTGGACAGTTAATTCGCTGCGTGAGCTGAAAGGTCTGCTACGACAGAAAAGACATCTGTAGGGTGGACCGCCAGGCAGGGAGACATTAGAGCTGATATGACGCAGGTAAGCAGCCTTGGCGAGGCAACACTTGTGTTTCTCTGACCATTTCATAAAGACCCTGTCTTTGCACCCTCGACAGTGCTGGTGACTAATGTCGTAAGGCGGTCTGTGGTCCATGAGTAGCGTATGCGCTTGTATGGCGGCTCCATCACTGAACTCCACGCAGCACATGTAGCAGAAACCGTCGGGGTCGGTTTGCATGCCCCTTTCGACTGGGGGCTCTTCCACGACATTTTTTCCCTTGGAACCCTTGCTATTGGGTGATTTGCTTTTTCCTTTGGACCCCTTGCCCTTCCCTTTCGGGGACTTCCCCATGCCTGAACGCCGAGGGAACCAACCTCCGGGTGGATTCTTTCACCCGCTGCCTGACTAATGTAGACGTCTGATTATTGATTAGGCCCAAATTGAACCACCACAGCGCGGGAACACGACCGCGTCATGCGTGTGCGCTTACCTATACTCGTCAGTCCCTAGGATAGTAATGTGAGAACTGGATGTGAAGTCATCGGGCTAACGCCCTTCAAGTTAGGCCTTGAAGTCTGTAGGAATCTTTTTAGCGGAACCTCATCTACGCCTGCGGAATGACTCGCGAACTCGGCAGCAGTAAGTTGTTTAACTCAGACCTTCAGCGCGGGCACTTTCTGAAAAACCAAAAGCTTTTCTTTGTTGTTTTTTTGTCTTTTCATGTCGAAAGTGCCAAGCCTGTAAAGTCTTAACTCGTCAACTGTACTCTGACAAGGTTGAAACCATAAGAATGTCATTGGACTTCATATCTGAATTACACGGGGAGAGCTAGGGGATCCGGTGGTGAACGGAACTCCTCACAGCTGCGTCGTGTGACAGCGTAAAGCCGGAAAAGCAAGCGCCTGCGTATTTGACTTATGCCTACATGTTGGAAGTATTTGATTTATCGTTTCTTTGGGGAATTATTCGTAAAGACATACGTTATAAAAATAGGCTACTGAAATCGGTTCAGTAGGGTCTGTTGGATAAAATTACATGATAGTGAACGGGTCGATATTAGTAATCTAGGTTCCAGGATTCACTGTCCGAGGATCCTCGTCAAGATGGAAACCAGTGGACGTCGGTTGGACTGGCCGGCACCTTCGTTACCTCACTGCTACCGTTGGTTTTGCCACCGCTGTAGACTCCGGTAGTGAGCTTCAGTTAGGTCAGAGAGACTCAATAATAAACCTCTAGTTTAGGCAACCGACCCGCCTCCATTGCTCCTCCACCTCTGCACAGGCTGGAGATCCGACTATTACACTCCGTTCATGCAGTTTCACATTACGACTGTTCAATAAATCGAACAACGGACACTGGTTGAATACACTAACCGTTATTCAACCCTCTCACCCTCCCACTTCCCCTCCCCCCCCCCGCCCACCAAAAAACCAACCCCACAGACATGGGCGAACAATCATGCGTCGTCTATCAGATCCCATGTCGGAGCTGCCCTCGCCAATACATAGGACAGACCGGACGACGACTTAGCTCACGAATAACGGAGCACAAACGGGAGATCCGGAGAGGCGACCCGTTGTCTCTGATCGCCACTCACACCCTGGAGGAAGGCCACGAATTCAACTTCGCGAGCACGCGGATAGAAACGTGGGTCAACAATAAGACAGGACGAGAACTGTTAGAGGCCTGGGTGTCTGATACCAACTCTATCAACAGACACGTCGACATACCTCCCTGCTATCACGCGCTCCGTTCCCGCGGTCAAGAGGCGAGACCCAATTTCCAACCAAGGGTGCACGCAGTCACGCCACCATGAGACGGCGTGTGACTCAACTTATCACGACTACCACCCTCTGCACTCATATCCCCCTTCATGGCCTGACTACAAAAACTGCTCATTTAATGCCGCATTCTCACAGTCTCTGACGATGGCCTCCTGTACGAGACCGAAAGGTCAGACTAATACACCTACTGTCCCAGAGATCGTGTGTTCATCTTCTTCACATCTACATATATTCTCAGACCTAGCCGTAAACCTAACGTTTATCCGACAACGAATCAGAATCATTTCTTGGGAGGGCGAAGAAAGTGTCTCTAATCATACAGGTTATTGTGCCACCCTTTAGAATCGTCGAGAAGATGATAGAATTAGTTAATTCGTTTTCATGCTTTTTACGATTAAAATAGTGCCAACCTCCGACGCGTTTGCAATCTGTCATAATGTGCTGGTAGTGGTGGTTTTATAGTGGATCTGCACCGGACGACTATAGCAACGCTGCAACTCTGCCTGGACGCGCGCAACAGCAACAGCCTGCTTTTGACCTGCTCACCTGATCGGCGCCGTTTTGTGCCACTGTCCTCCTGTCCGTCTCACGTTACCGGCCGATTCGCTGTTAGGACCATGCAAGGCTTGCCACTAGCCTCGCGTGCTATTGAGGCCTATCAGTGCAGCCACTTCGCTGGTTGGTTGCGAGTCGTAGTGGCCAGAGTCTAGCCACGGCTTAAGGTACTGGGGAGGTTTAAACGGTTGCCAGTGGGCGGACCAACTTGATCCTCCACAGGACTGAGGGCCGGCCAGCTCTGATTACTTTATATGTCCTAGTTACAACTTGCTGTGATGGCAAATGGGGGAGCCCGCCTGACAAAGACAGGTCCCCTATGGTTTGAGGAGCCCACACGTGTGTTGGACGTGTAGATGGAAACTTCGGGGGGGAGAGAGGGAGTGTGTAGTCGATCCAGCGCTTGTCTTTCGCATCGTAAGCTTTTGACCTCTCATGACGCATCAATTCAGAGTGACCACAACCTAGGGAATAACCTAGCTCTTCCCTGGAACAATGTCCAGACCGCAATAGGTATATCCAATGTGATCTTCCTGGCACGCACGTTTATTTGGGATTCGAGACTTCCGTTCTGTAGGGATCAGCTAGAATGCGCCCACGATGATGGGTCGTTTGCACCATGTCCGCTGCCGATCTCCGGTCATCCTGGGTCGTCTTGACATTGCTTTGTCCCTGGAACATGTTCAGTGCAGGGAGAAAGTGTGAGGTTATGCTGAAAAAGTCTCCCGCATTGTGGTCAACCTCACGTGATGATTACTACTGCCCTCCTCCCGGGCGGGATGGTGACACTCCTCGTCGATCGTGACGTAAGAACTATCTCCTCCAACGAGACCGTGAAGGCACCAGCTACTGCTACAGTCGTACTCCTTCACAAGTCGCAGTCATGTTCGCGCCCTGCGGCACGTGGACCAGAATGTCTATTGCACAGCAAGGTGAATGCGGAAGACTTACGATCAAAAGGCGGCCCAATCGACCGTAACAACGATCTGTCCCCCGCCTACGCGATTCTGCACAACACCTGGCAGGAAGAATGGATGCGCTTCGAAGTCGAACAGGGCGTGCGAGAGCCTAGACTGCTAGTTGGAGCCTCAAGCAATGGAAACATGAGTGGCGCCGGCAAGGGCGGAACATTGTTATCC